CTTCTAATCCTTTGATATAGGTTCAAATCCTATTGAACGCAAACTCTTACAAAGTGATATCTCATTGATGGCTTGACCCTCGGAAGGAGGCAATATTGTACACATAAATTCAAAAAGTTTTCTTTTTTCTTAACTATACATTCTTCAAAAATTTACTATTCAAAATTTTGTTTTTAGATTTTAAAGACTATCAAACAGGAACTTAACACAAACGAACTTATTTATATCTATAGTTGCGAATATTGTTGGAGTACAATTTTTAACGTTCGTAAACATGTGATCGTGACATAGGTTTAGTAAAAGTAATTTACTAACACCGAAATAAAAACGAAGTGATTTCATCTTGGTAAATTAAGGTTAATTTGTTTTGGTAGATTAAGGTTAATCAAAAAATTTAACTTAGGCTTTTTTGGTAACGATTTTTTCTAATATTACCTCTTTCAAAATCATTTCAAATAATATATTTAAATTACTCACAACTTTTTCTAACTTTTAAATTATTCGTTCTCTTAGCGACTATATGATGGAGATTAAAATCAGATTTTTAGTAATTTTTGATAAAAATTGATGAAATCTGTAGTTGAAGAGTTGTGAATCTCATAAAATATATAGTTAGAATTAATTGTTAATCTTGAGTAAGATTAAAATCTAAATTTTAATTTCTACCAGATAGAGACTAAAAGAATAATGCTACTTGTACATAAAGAGTTACAAAAAATTTTATAGATAAATGAGGTGTCAAGAAGAGAATGAATTTTTTTTTATTTAATTGAAAAAGATTTGATCTAATTATATCTTACCACATGTATGTACACTAGCTTATAAGTGATGATTTACACGTGAATAATATTGAGTGTACACAGTTTGATAGCCTCTTCACAAAGGGGGTGGATCTCGCAATTTTTAAAATCGCTGCTCCAACCCCCTAAAATCTCGGGCCCACTCCCTTTGTAAGGGGGTTATCACTCATGATATACACCTAGCATTTCTCTTTACACATAACATAACAATAAAAAAATAGGGAAAATTGTAGCAACAATTCCAAACATTTTCAATTTTTGCAGACTTTACCTTAACTTTTGTTTTATGCCAACGGAGATCCCAAACGTTTCGAAAATATGCACCGGAGGTCCAAATGGAAGGCTTCTGTCCAGTTTACCGTTAATTGACCAAAGATAATATATGTTGACCAATTCTGACAAAATCAGGAGGGATAAAATGGTAACTTGACAATTTTCTCATTAAATAAATTAAAAAAACTTGCAATCAGTTTCTCCTTCCCGACATCAACAGTGCCGTCACGTTGTCGGCACCACCATCAGTACACTATCGACACCACCACCACCGTAAATCACAAATGAAGAAAATCACGTTCGACACCTAAAAATGGAATCTAAATCACGGCCACCACCAACATGTCGCCATGGCCGCCGCCCCATCACCAACCAAATCTCCATCGTCCTATCCCAAACTAGAAAACCATCTACCACCACCACTATCATTGATGCCAGTAACTACCAATTTTCAAACTTCAAATTCAATTCAAAAAATCAGAAGATAATGGAAAATTGAATCCCATTGAAGCCAGGCGAACCTCGACCAAACTTGTACGACCATGTGTAACCATTTAATTGCTCCAATTGAGGTTGTGGCAGTTCGACAGGTCTTGATGGCTCCAATTGAGGTTGGGCAGTTCGACAAGTCTTTGTGGCTACAATTTATAATGTTTGGGTTCTGACAAATTTTGCCAATGATGGTGGCGGTGGTGGCCAGACTTTGAGGCAGCGATGCTGCAAATGGCGGTGGTGGCTTGCGGTGGGTGGGAATGGGGATGAGTTGAGTGGGAGGAAGAATGCTTTTTGTATATTTATTTTTATTTTTTTGGTTTTTAAATTTAATTTACGATGGTTGTGGGAGGAGGCGGCGAAGGTGGTGGTGCCGACAACATGTCGACATTGTTGATGCCAGGAAGGAGAAACCAATTGCAAGTTTTTTTTAAAAAAAATATTTAATGAGAAAAATGTCAAGTTACCATTTCACCCCTCTTAATTTTGTCAAAATCTACTATTTTTGGTTAACTAACGGTCAACTTTTTTGAAACATATGGGATCTTCGCTAGCACAAAACAAAGGTTAGGTTCAGTTTGCGAAAATTGGAAAGGCTTGGGACTGTTGTTACTATTTTGGGAAAAATTCACTTTCCCTACTTTATCTTTACCCTATTTCAAAAATAACAAAACAAGTTTTACATTTCAAAAATCAGATTTTTTGACCTATATATACACATATTTATAAATATTTATTTATTTATTTAAATATATAAAAAGATATAAATAAATAAATAAATAAATATATATAAAATTAAC